TAACATTTTTTAACAATAAGGCCTACCCACATTTTATCTGTAATATGCGTCATTGGACAATAGGAATATGGAAACTGGGACTTTACCTTCTCCTAAACGGCTGTGTATGATGTCTTCCCTTGCTAGCCCATTACCTGAAGGAAAATCTGCTGCAGGAACTGTATGGCAGTGTAGTAAGGAAGTACCTGTTCCTTGTGGGCACATGATCAGCATGGGTATAATGACAGTACACGAAATCTCTACCAGGCTCTATTGCAGACCAAAGCATGAAGCGTGTCTGATCACATTGCTACAGTAAATAGATTATTTGCAGTATTTGAAATCAGCTCTGAAGTTTCAAAAAATGACACATCTTAAGCATAATAGATTGCCCTTAAAAAAACCCCTACATATCCATACCAGAAAGTGAGACTCTGACAGACTAAAGTTATTTTGATGTCACAGAATTTAAGCCTTGGAGTGGAGGGACGAGGTATCCCTAAGACAGTGGTCAGACAGGTTTCAGAGCATTGTGGAAAAATATGTCTTTTGGTTTATGATCATTAAAGTTCTGTGCTGAAGGAGCAAAGAAGGTGGCCATGTTACCCCATCCCTGGCCATTCAGATCCATGAGCAGCCTCTCCTGGTTTTCAGGATTCAGGACATAACTGAATCCCTGTGCTTTTCCACAGCAATGCATATATAAGAAAGATATTAAGCTATTGGAGAGTGTCCAAAGGAGGGCAGCGAAGATGGTGAACGGCCTTGAGTGGAAGCCATATGAGGAGCGGCTGAGGTCACCTGATCTGTTCACCCTGGAGAAGAGGAAACTGAGGGGAGACCTCATTGCAGTTACAACTTCCTCATGAGGGGAAGAGGAGGGGCAGGAGGCACTGATCCCTTCTCTGTGGTAACCAGTGACAGGACCTGAGGGAATAGCCTCAAATCATGTCAGGGGAGGTTTAGGTTGGATATAGGAAAAGATTCTTCACTCAGAGGGTGTTTGGGCACTGGAACAGGCTCCCCAGGGAAGTGGTCTCAGCATCAAGCCTGCCAGAGTTCAAGAAGCATTTGGGTGATACTTTTGGACACATGGTGAGACTCTTAGGGATGGTCCTGTGCAGGGCCAGGAATTGGACTCAATGATTCTTGTGGGTCCCTTCCAACTCAGCATATTCGGTGATTCTGTGATTCTGTGTGCTGGTCCAGAAACAGCAGCCCACCAAGCGGAGATGCTCCAGGACAAGTAAATCAGATGGAATTTGCTCCTCTATTTTCTCTTCTTTTTCACTGTTCACATGGGCTCTGCAAAGCTGCACCTGGCTCCCAAAACAAGAGGCACTCTAATGGCTGTTTCTTTAACATCTACATAGCCTCTTTTTAAGAGCAGCCACAGTTGAGGGCGTATGGACTTGTGTGCTAACTGACAGTCATTTAAGAGTGGCTAATGGCTTTGAGAGTAAAAAAAAAAGAAAACAAAAGCAAGAAATGAGATGACAGGGGACATGTTACAGGAATTTACTACTTTGATCCTTAATGTTGAACTGTTATAGGAATTTTACTGCATATCACAACAGAAGCTTACTACAAGTGAGACAAAACAAGCAAGGAATATCAACCTGGAGAGCCAAGGGGGTACTTGGAGTTAGAGGCAATTCTGTAAAAGCTATTTAGATGTTATTGACATCCTACAAAGTGTATAGCTATTTTGAAACCAATTTTCAGTAAGTTTATAGGCCAAAATATAATTCCACCCATCTCAAAAATAGGATGAACTCTAAAAGTCCATGTAAAAATCAGTCTCAAAGGGAGACTAAAGCAGCATCTGAGACAACTTCTAGAGAACTGGAAGGGGAATGTGGGATATCATTTAAATTCCAGAGTGTCTTCAAATGCTAAGTGTAAATTAAGAAATTGATGCTGGCTCAAAGTCAGTTCTTGGCTTGTCACTGGGAAGTACGGTGCTTTTCCTCTGTCGTGCGGACCAGGCAGAGCAGGTCACACAAATGCTGGAACTGCTGTCTCTTCTGCTCTTCCTGCAACAAGTCTTTGTATCTCATGGGTGACCAGGGACTCAGATGTCTTCTGAGAGAAAATCCCAAACTTTGCAGGATGAAACTTTCCTAAATTTATTTGAACAGTGATAGTTAAGCTGTGGAATGAATTTGGAGGTAAGTAAGTTCATCTTGACCCAGCTTGTGTTCTTGGTTATTTCTATCAGGTTGGGGTGGTGGTTTCATTTAATTCTACAAAGTTGATATTATCTCCTGGTGTGGAGTACAGGTGATCAGCTTTGCTGTTCTTCATAGATTAGATTGGATATTAGGAAAAATTTCTTCACTGAAGGTGGTCAGGCATTGGAAGAGGCTGCCCAGGGAAGTGGTGGAATCACTGTTCCTGCAAGTGTTCAAAAAACATGTAGATGTAGTGCTTAGGGACATGATTTAGTGGTGTTAGGTTAACAGTTGGACTCGATGATCTTGGAGATCTTTTCCAACTGTAAATAATTCTGTGATTTGTTCTGCATTTCACTCCACTTAATTCATCTCTTTATTACCATAAGAACTACTCGATGAGCTAAAAATTCTAGCTATTTCTTTTCAAGTTCAGGTGATGGTAAGGGTTCTTTAGGCCCCTACAAAAAAGTTCCTATAAGTAACTAAGACTTCAGAAATTTGAAAATGCCTGGGCTATATGCCACAAAAATCAACAAACAAAAAGGCTCAGAAAATTAATAGTTATTTATTACTCCAGAACATAATATATTTAGTGAGATACTTGCGCAGCTCTTTGCATCACATGAACCTTATGTATGATTTATAATCACTTCTGGGTCCCATTATTACCACATAACCCTTCTATTAAAATAAACTGATAACTATGTAATTAGTGATGGTACCATCATTTGTAAGAGCAAAATTTTGTTCCCTGCCTAGAGGGAGCTGGAGAGAGCTATAAACATGAAATATCAACGCTACCTGTGGGATTAAATTGCTATTTTCCAATAGCTGCAATGCTTAACAGGATATTGCTGTAGCATGGATGTTTTGGGAATACAAGGCATGATGCATAGCTGTGATTAAGCTAAACCACACTTTCTGTCTTTCATTTGGCTTCCCTCTAAATCAAGTATCACTGGGTGTTGCATTCTTGCAGCATCCTCTGGGGTCCAAAGGAGTACATGTGCTGGTGGGAGCCAGGGAATGTCCTCCTATGGAAAGGGGGTACCTGTCCCCAGGGCCCTTCCCCATGGTCCCCACTCCTGGCTCCTCCCCAGGCAGTGTGACCAGCTTCAGGGGGCTCAGGGCAGCCATCTCCATCCTCTGCATGGTGAGGAAGGGCACTTCTGGCATGGCACAGCAAGCCAGAGGGAAATCCTGATGTTTCCATGCCCATTGTCCTCAGCAGGCCGAGGTTTGGACTGCAAAGGGTTCATTTCTTCCACATGTAACATACCAGCAAAGCATCTCCTGAGTGCAGGGGTGTGTCCACAGCTAGCCTTTTCCCTTCCCTTGGGGGGAAACAAAATGGAAGAAACTGAACATTGCATCAAACAAAATCTGTTCCCAAATGTGTTTGTTCTGACTGGTTTTTCCAGTCCCAAGGTGGCATTTCTTTACCAGAACTGTTTGCTTTTCAGCTGAGAAAATGGAACTGGCTTGGAAAAAAGACAGTCCTTAGCTCTTCCCCTTTGCAGATAAGAAAACCTGCTTACGGTTTGCAAACCTGGTTAAGATTATTAAAATTGATGCTATTTTACTGCAATGTCAGAAGCTTTGGGAAGCTCAGGACCCACTGCACTGGCCTCTGCACTAAAGGTCTCCTCTTTGCAAATGAGCAGAGGCTTCTGTCATCACTCCGAGGGATCTGTGTGGCTTTTCTGAATTATTTTTAACATACCACAGAGAGGATTAGGAGGGAACCTTTGTACCATCTGTCCTGGACTGCAAGTGAGCCTTTCTGGAAACTACTCAGATTCTTTGGTGTGAATAGGCTGCTTAGATGTTGCGTTTTTCAGCCTCTGGGCACTGCACAGTGCCTGTAACACCAATATTTTAAAGAGTATGGCCTTAAAATGCCACATCTTTAAATAAAAAAATGAACTTTTTAATGAACATTGGCAACAAGCCCCAAAAATTTTTATTTTTTTTTAATGATTCTCACTCCCTGTGCCAACAAGTACCAAGTATGCAGCAACATCTGCTGCATAAAAAGCTCATCTGCTCAGCAGGTGGAGAGGTGGCAGGCACAGGAATCGCCTTTGGAGGGCATGGTCAGGGGTGGGGATATACAGATATAAGAGGCTGCAGAGGGTGTGAAGAAGCTTTTGGTACAGCTGCTCTCTGAGCATCCTGCTGCACGTGCCACTGTCTTGCCTTGTGCCATCCCTGGTCAGCCTCCTTCACCATGGAAGAGAAGGCTTTCCCAGATGGCCACATGCAGTTTAAACCCCAGTCTGGTTGGCAAAGCCTGTTGGAACATTGGCCTGTCATCCCCTTGGGCTATTTACCAATTCCTGACATCACCATGCTATTTTTTATGTGGGTCCCTTGTACAAAGGAAGAGCACGGCCAGTTTCCATTGCTCTGGCAGACTTTCTATGCTACAGATTCTGTACAATATTCCACTACAGTAAAGCTAAGTGAAATCCTGCCTTTGTTACAACCCCAACTGTGTATTGCCAGCTTACAGTCCTCTACATGTTTTATTGGTTTTGCTGTTAATCTCTCAGGATAAACACATACCACTACTTCAGATTCTGTAGTAGTAGTTTCTCCAGTCACAACTAGAAATAGGATCCTTTGGGGAAAAATGGTAAATATGTTAGCTCACTTAACACATGATTGAAATTTCACTTCAGCCCTCAAGGAATGTAATTGGCATAAAACAGAAGGCTCATCTGTGCTGGAAATGGTGTTGCAAATGGTGGTATTTCCACAAACTACTTCTTAGGGTTTTACAGTGGCAATACACAGTTGTCTCTATGTTCCTCAGCATTTATAACAAGTTGACAAATATTTGGTAACTAAAGGTCATTTTATTAAATGAAGATACTTGTTATATAGTCTCAAGTTCTAGCTTTGAAATTGTTAGAGAGCAGTTAAACACTGAACTCCCCAGCCACACGTATCGGTTGTGCAGGATCATACACCACGTAAATGAGCTAGTTGAAACACCTGACATTTACTCATAACACACTGCTACAAGTGGCAAAACCATTCAGTTCTTAGTCATTTATACACTGAATTTACACACTGACTTATCGCTCTCAATTTCATTGAACAGAAAATACTTTGTATTATACTTATGTAATGGCTGCATCCAAATGAAATTAAATTTTGTGATCTTCATGTGCTGTAATTGGCAGACAGAAACCACTGGAAAAGCTGGAAGGACTCAGCACTGTCAAGGCTGTTCCCAGAGCAGAGCTGTGGACACTGAAACCGCTGAAAAAGTTCCTACCAAAGCCAGTGGTTTTGCATCAGATACGTAACCTCCGTGAACAAGAGCAGACCATTTACAGCTGCAAATGTTATCACTTCTAACACCAACCATTTGATTTGTGCCAATCTTGGCAGTAAAATTCCTGATGCGGTTCAGTGGGGAAGACCTCTCTGCATCACCATTGCTCAGTGTAAAGGTCTCAAATACTGGCACACCAAGCCTGGTCCCGCACCAGGACATGGTGCAGCAGGAGGTGGCTCAGGCAGTTTGTTCACCAAACAAGCCCTGCAAAACCTCTACTGCTGCATCTACACCCTCCAGCAGGAAGCATTTACCTTGAAACCCTCTCCAAGAGGTGTGAAAATCAACAGTTAAGCAGGACAGCATTAGAGACATCTTCTGCCCTAGAATGTGAGCTGGTTTTTAAAGTGTTTCAGCTTTCACCCTACATCAAAGGTACATCGATCCTCCGTGGTCGTACTTGGAGTAAATCAGTCTGCTGAGAAATTCAACCTTCCCTCTGCTATTAGTTTAGCTAGAAAAAGTAAAAATTAAAATAAATTATAACATGCAGGGAAAGGCATGTTTCCTTCATTTAATTGTTCAATATTTTTACCTAGAAGCCAGTTAAAATTTGGCCACTGACTCAGTGAATAGCCAGCATCTCATAAATACGTATCCAAGAAGAAGAAATAGAATGTCCACTAATAAATAAAAAAGATTAAAGTCCAAATAGCTGAGTAATTTCTTCATAAATCCTACTTTCAATATGTTACATTATTAATTTATTTTTAAGGAAGAAGTATGTCCTGATAGCTCTTGCTGGATGGACAGTTAAAAAAAGAGTAATAAAACACTGGAACAATGACATTTTTAGTTGTTTTTTTTTAAGATGCATAACTTTGTATTTGCATATCAGGTAATTTTTTAATAAGACAGATTTCTGAAAATTCTTTACATGTTGCTAAGACTTCAGCTCATGCCTTTTCCAGCTACCTAAAACTTCTGCTCCCTCCAACTCCTACCAGCTGCCAGGCGATTATATAAAATGTTACCACAGATAAGGTTCAGCCAAATCAAGCAGTGAATTTTATCACTCTCTTTTAGTTCTATAAGAGCCAAATGGATTTAAGATCAACAAAATATAAAGAATCTTTCTTAATGGATAAACTGAATGGAGAGAAGGCTTTTTAGGGTGGTAGGAGCTTTTCAGTGGTGAGTTGTATAACAGCAATCCATCCAACACACAGAGAACACAAAACTCTATACTCATTTCTAAAGTGATCAGAGCCATTTTTCATTTTAAGGTGAGTAGCATCTTTTTTTTCCTAAACAACTCTTTTGCCATTTGAAATAGCATGTTGCTTGTAGTTTTGAAGTATTTTTGATGGATGCTTTCCTCTGTTCATTGTCCTTCAATCCCAGGGTAAAATTCTCTACAGAAAGTATCCTATAACTCAAAAGTAAAGAAACAGAATCTGTGCCATTCCGTCTTTCTGTGGCCAAGACAAAAAGCCCATTGTCTTCTTCACCTTCTTTAACTTGTCATTAACCACTCCTGTAAATCAAAGAATTTCACTAAGCACAGCAGTGTTGGCATCACAAAGCTTCTTTGGGGCCATTTGTGCCGACCACTTGCATAACCCCTACTCAGATCAGAGCATGCCTTACTATTAGCACTGGCTGTCTTAAAACCAACAACCTTTAAAGATGCTTCATTCCTATTATGAAATTTTGGCTTTTGTAAGAGTTGTTTTAAACAAGGCACAAAAATCGTACAAAATACAAACCACCATGGGGAATGAAAGAAAAAAGCTGTTGGATTTACTAGAAAAGGGACTGCAGATGTTAAGATGTCTCCAACTCCCTTTAAGTCTCATTATATGCTTAAGTTTTTCATACCAAATAGCAATTTTCCATTATTAATTTAGGCTCTAAAAATGTGCATTATCTAGGTGCATACATGAGTAGACAGATGCAAAACAAGTACTCTAACTAGTTTCATTGAACTAACAAGTTTCATCAAATGTGTTGATAAAAGTAACTGTGCTTTAAATTGCAGCATTTGAAGTAAATTTGAAGCAACTTGGTTGTTGACTGGAAAGCAGACGTGTACTAGCAGTCAAGGAGGGAAACAAACTGTTGTCAACACCCAAAAATCGTTTTTGGTATGAAAACCGAATAGATTTAGTGATGCAATTACTGATTACTGTACATCTGATGGAAGTCAACAGAATACATCCTTATGTCCTCAACTCCAGACTTGGACTAGATTTGTACAGACTTTGAACTTCAAAAAGAAGAAACCTTAAGCAATGTGTAAATGGCAGTATCAGAGACTGATACTACTTCAAGCTTCCTGCATGCATGTCCCATCTGCTTCCCACTTGGATGCTGTGGCAGGACCTAGGTACAGAGCAGGCCAGAAGGGAGCTGCCATTCTCTCCAACCGTGCACCTGAAGCACCAAGAATCAGGACTCGTGAACCTCAGCCTTGCAGTCTGGGTGTCATCTCTGCCCTTCAGTCCGGGTGTCATCTCTGCCCTTCAGTCCTGTTTGGATTAGGTGCTTGAGGCTAAGGGATGTTCCTGCAGCACAAGCAACAAAGGCTGGGGGTACCAGAGGAAGATGCAGGAAAGCAAGCATAAGTGTTTCTCACACAGGAGTCTTGCAATTGAACTTTTAATAGAAATGAGCAACCTGCAACCTACAATCCCATCAAAGAATTGGGAAGAGAGATAAGGGAGAAAGAAAAAGGCTGCTCCCCAAACGGGCTGCTCCCCCACCCCATTAGGATCCAGGGGCACAGCTTTGGCAAACAGCATGTTGTTACAAACCGAGACAGATGGAAATGTGGTTACTTGTCAAAGCTGTTATCCCTCAAGAGCAAAGAAATTATGTTGTCTTGAACACGCTGTGGGTAACAGACAGGGAAAGGTCCAGAAATAGAACAAAACTAATAACATAAAACTAGGTTTGGAAGCTGTCTTTTGCAGAGAAAAGGATGTGTTTTTTCTTAACAGATAAAAATCTTTCTTTAGTCCCAACAGTATATGTTACAACAGATAAGCATTGTCCTACTGAAGACTTAACCTATTAGAAATAAATTACTAATGTTTGTCATGCAGTATTATCAACAGGATAATTTCTGTGATTGAAACTGAAGGTATTTACAAATTCTTGTCTATACCAAATACTGGATAATATGGGATACCGAGCTTTTAGAAAACCTTTAAATTCTAACTACAGCACAACCCACTCATAAAAGGTTTTTAAAAATTTTAGATATTAACAATGATCTGAGTCTACCTTTGAAAAAAATGCAGAATTTTCTTCCTAAGACAGTGATTCCTTCAAGATTAATTTAACAGAGAGCTCCATCTTTTACTTTTAAGCACATTTCACAATAAAGCTCAAGAAGAAAACCAATTTCCCCAGCAGTATGTTTTCCTAATACTGCTCATTTCTTTCCATCAAAACAAACTGATTCTAGTACCATACCTTTGTCTACTGAACCCAAGGCAGAAAATAAATGATAACTGCATCTTTTCCATTAAGGAAGAGGATGATACACAAAGAGGAAGATGTTTTGTCCTACAGGTGCCAAAATTAAAAAAACAAAACAAAACAAAACTAACAACTTTATATTTTAAAAATGTCACTTTACTTTTACTGAAATCTTTCAGTCTTCACCTTCCATTAGGAGAAAAAAATAAAGGAGAAAAAATACTGCAATTAAAACAGAAGTGTTGTGATTATTCCATTTTATATTTATTCTTGCACAAAAAGCCAAATAGCCAGAGAAGTTATGGCATCAGCAGCGCCCATTATTTCACAGAAACCACATTCAACTCCAATGGGAAAAGGAAGTTTCAAAATGCTTCCATATGTAATAAAACAATTTTCAAAATCTTTTAGTTTTTGTATTTTGAGTCTTCAGAAATGGTGATTTTTTTATTAGGTTTGGTAGCCTCGTCCATCAGTTCCTTCAGCTGCCCAATCTGTTCATCACGGAAGTCATTAAGTTTTTCTTCTGTGAGCTGGAGTCCATATACAGTCTTTTCTCTCAAGTTTTGTTTGTCCTCATCGATTTGTTGCTGTATCAATGCTGCATAGTTCTAATGAGGAAGGAACATGAAGGTTACAAAACTGACAAATGCAGGATTCATGTCAACTTTTTTCAAAAGCATTTTACTGTAATAACATACTCTTACACCACCTCCTACAACAGTCTATTAATCAACACCAAATGACAAAAAATTACACTTTTTATGAGAAAGAAAAGTTATTAAAACATTTCTACATTAAAACATCTACCATCAATTTTATGTAACTAGTTTAAAATGCATATTATATATGTACAGATTAATTTCATTATGTCCTATCATATACTACTTCTGAAAACAAAACACAATTTAATTATAGATCAAATATAACTAGTAAAATAGCGTTTTCTATCTAGCAGGATATCAGTTGGACTCACTTTGTAAACTGATACATCTGGAAAAGTATTATTCTTGAAATGTATTAGAAAAAGCAATCTATAATTAGACAAATGTCCTGAAGCCTTTTTGCCTAACCACTCTCTGCTTTTCTCAGAACTGATAAGGTCACATCCAGCCCTGGACTGCTCCAAAGGCAGCAGGAATTCAGTAACTATGAGACTTCTGTCATTCTGCCAGTTTTTAGAAGAAATTAATTTAAAAAATTTATAGTTGGGTGAGAATAAGAAGGAGCTTAAAGACACGTCTGTATTGCATGCTCACTCCCCAAAGGAAAAAAAGAAAAAGATAACCCCCCTTTCTGCAGGGTTTTGAATATATGTAAGTTTGTTCAGACTTACTTACAATCCTGTTGTAACAGAAAGCATTTGGACCATGTTTACTTAGATAACAGTACTTATGTCAGTGGACAGGCAACATGGTCAGTGTGTTACATCAACACCGGACTGAGGACCATTAAAAAAATCAAAACTTTCTCAAGAGCAGAAACAGAAGTGGCCAAGGGATCACACCAGTAATGTGGGCATAGTTGGAAAATTGCTTTCTCACCACTTCAGAGCAATCTTTGACCATTACGATTTTTCTAAATTACAACACTCGAGGTTCTGCAAGGACAGCAGTTCTGCAAATTTAATTCAGCTGGTGGTGCTCCCACTGACACCGCTGTGTCCAAGGCCCATCAGCATGGATGCTGTGAGCTTCCCAGCTCCCTCTGCCCAGCACCAGCCCCGCTGCAGCAGCTCTCAAAGAAGTTGTAGTGAGTGAATTCGTCAAAAGCCTCATGGTGTGTGTACTTACAGAAGTCAGTGAACCTACTCAGATGTTTAAAAGCTAAGTACACATTTAACCACTGGGTTGGAAGGGAGCCTAAACGTCCATTTTTCTTAAGAAGAACTTAAAAACAAGCTCCAAAATTAAGAAATTCATTTCAAAAGTTAATTTTTAATTGGAAAAAATACAGGCTTCTATCCTACTTCAGTAAGGTATCCTTTAAAGCACTTTTAAAGTTTCAAGCATAACTCTGAATAAAGTATAAGAAGCTGAACTAAAAAATACTAAGAATGAGGACTGTTACATGGCAACACCTTTTTTTAAAGAAAGGATTAAATATCAGGAGTATTCAAAGCACAGCGTTATAGCAATGAGATATAAGCATTATTTGAATTCCCAATCTTCAGCTAAGAGAAAACTCATTACTGCATACTGAATTGTTAATCCAATTACCAGCAGAGTAACTGAAGCCACTACTTCAACTGTCTGTCTAGTAATTCCAGAGAAGTGGGTGAGAAGGAAGAATGATATTTGTGAGCATGTGATAAATTTCAAAATGACACCATTTACTAACATAAATACACTACATTGTTAGTGAACCATGTCAAGCCTCACTGAAGTCAGCAGGATCTTATCACTCCTGCTGCAAAACATAATTCATGGCTATTTAAAGAAAATAGACAGCTAAAACAAACCAGGGCAAACAAAAGTACATTTTTATTAATAGGGACTCTGAACTAATGTGATTCTTTGAGGTTCTTCCCAACATTACCTCTCCTGCTTTTACACTAAATATGCATTCAGGAACAGTAACACTGCAGTTAATCCCCACAGTAAACCTACACTTCAGAGGTATTACCTCATGGTAGAGTTGGTGTATGGTTTAGAAGGAACTAAACAGTTTTTTTCCTGATGATTGAACAATAAAGTAGTAACAACAAGATAAAAAATTATAATGGGGTAAGTCTTCAACTTTGTGATTTACAGAATTTCTTATCAAGGCAGATGGACAAATGTGATCTGTGAAGCTATCTGCAGACCAGAAACACACCAATGGTGACACATCAACTATTCCAGCTCATTCTGTCTTCACATTTCTGCACAGAACAATCCAGTCAGTACTGACTCTGGACTCCAAAAAAAAAGAAAAGAAAAAACAAACCACACTCTCATTATACCAAACAACAACATTCATAGCATATAATAAACTATAATGAAAGCAAGCAATGTGAAGTTCTTCACATCTTATCAACAGATCTGACTAAACGCAGAAACCCCGAGAACCCCTCCATGTGATGTCCTGTGCAGGTTCCACGGCAAGAGAAAAGTCCTTCCCACCGCTAATGAACAACACTCAGGAGCAGCCTGGGGCTACTGCTACAGGCATGGGCTATGGTACCCAGAAATAACTGAAGTCCATTTAAAGAGTGGTTATAATTTTACAAACTTTGTTGACAAGATCATCTTTGACAAAAATATCAAATTAATTACTGGCAAAGAGTCTGTAATTTATTTTTTTTTCATCTAACATCAAAGCATCACACTTCACAGAGCACCAGTGTTAAAGAATCCAGCTCTTGAAAGTGGCAGTCCTCAACAAAGCTGCAACGCCCACTCTCACAGATGCTCTGCATCCAGATACAGAGCAATGGACTATACCTCCCCCATTCCCTGATGCCAGGTGTTCCACCTCTCAGCACTCCAAAGTGCTCCCATCCAACTGTCACCGCTGGCTCTTTTCCCCTACTCATTTTCTAGCTGAACAACTGTTTTGTATGTGGCAGAAAATCTCAATAGTTGCAGTTTCACATCAATTTGCAATGTGAACAGAAATTTAAAATTGGACCCTGGAAACATGCTGGGTTTTGGTTGGCTCATGACAGAAAATGGAACTTTCTCACCTCACTTTACCAAAAGTCAGTGATGCACCAAAGAAAATATGTTTCAGCCTTTACGGAAGTCCTGAAAAAAGATCAGCTATATGGCATATCTCATTTTCTCTCTCTGTGTTTCCAGATGAGGAACAAACAAAGCCTGGAATATTTAACTCTTTAACACTTTACTGCTACCTCAGAAATTCATATTGTTATTATGTGATCAGTGATTTGTGGAAAGCTACTACATGATTTGACGATACACGGTAAATTTAAGATTTGGGGTATATACAGAAAATGTGCCACTTTGCTAACCACACGTGAACTTTAATATGCTGAACTCCAAAGTTCTGTAATAGGTTTAAAAGCATAATGAAAAAAGAGTGGGGGGAAGCTAACATTTTTACTTCCAATAATATAACTGGTCACAAAATATGATGACCACAGTCCCTCTCGGGTAATAAGGAGCAGCATGTTCATGTATGGTCTAGTTTTCACTGGAACTTCATAGTTAGAGAACTTAAGTATTTTCCAGTGTCATCTTCCCTACCAGTAGAACTGCAACAAACACTTGCCTAGCTTTTCCAAACAAGGAAAATTATTTCCCTTCTGTCTTTCACTTTATGTTACATATAACTGCATCTTCCAAATATAACACCTTTGTCAATCACGACACAAATCCTGGGCAGATTTTTCAAGGGCATCTTATTCCCATTATGGTTCACACTGTGCTCACAAAACCAGAGACAGGAGACACAAAATGGAACACAAGTAAACCTGCACCCTCACAGAGCCAGGCTCAGCATACACAAGGACGGCAGAGGGACACAGGCGCTCTCCTCCTTTGCACGGAGGGTCAAATACGGTAGGTCAGTCAGGGACAACTTCTGCATCTTAGGGGTTTTTTAGGTTGGTTGGTTGTCTCTTTGTAAGTAGCTCTCACTGCAGTGATCCTCTGCGTGCACCAGCTGTAGACTTTCTGAGCACCCACATGAAAAAAAACAAACAACAAAGCCCCCACCATCAGAATGGTAAAAGTCTTTGCCCCTTGTATATGACTGCCACCAGAAACTCAGAAGATCAGAATCAAATTGAAGTTAAGACAACCTCTCCTGACCATTTACCATCAAAAGATCCAGTACTAAATCCCAGCATGCTGGCCATCCATGTCACAGACACACTCTCCATCTTAAAGGAGGTCCAAGGTAACAGTGTGAGGTGTAGACTGGCCATGTCCCTGCACTGCCATCAGTATGTGTAACCACAGATATACCCCAAAATTCTCCGTATCAACCAATGCACAGTCAGATCCTTCACCTGGATGGTCTCCTTAGAGATGCTTGTTCTGCCACAGATCACAATGGCATCTACAGCATGCAAGCTGAATCCAACCATTAGGCTCTCTTAAAATCCTATGATGTGACAAAATACTTGAACCTTTAAGTGATTTACACAAACAAAAATAAGGCAAGTATTTGCTGTAATCAATAACCACAGGGGTTTTTGTTTAAATTCACTAACTGAAGTGAATACACACTATGTCTCTGCTGTCCGATTCGTAAGCGCTCACAGAATGCACAAATTCATTAAAAGGACAAGAGGATGAGTGACATTTGAGGTTTTAAAATATCTTACATTACAGAAAGGGCATCAGCCTTGTTGTTTTCAAAGTTTTCAAAGGATTAAATAGAAAAATATAAGCAAAAATCACACAACCAAAAGCCCCACTCCCTGACTGCCAGATATATACGCTCTTACCTAGTCCAGTTCACTTTGACAGATGTTTATCTCATATGCAAATAAAAAAATGCAGATAGACACTTATGATTTAATCATAAGATTAAATGAGTTAAGAGCCCATTTTGGCCATTTTCACTGGAAAGAACAGTGCATCCCCCTCAACATGTACAATTCTACATTTTAGAAAACTACTCCAAAAATCTCTGTAAGATTGATTTAGATAGAAAAAGT